TAAAATTGTTGTTGACGATGAAAGTGGGAAGTGCGTAAAATTGTTTACACCACAAAAGCATACCTAAGCACAACAAAATATCGCAATTGCAAAAAAAAAAAAAAAAAATTCAGCTTGCGAAAATTGTTGCTTTCCCCCTCTCTCTCTCTTTTCGCGCCACTACAAAAATAGCGGTCGAGCAACGAAATTTTATCAAAACCTCGCTTCTTGGACATGGGACAGCAGGCTATATGGCAGTGAATCTGCCAGGAAGTTTGTAGAAATAATGGGCGATCATTGAACCTAGCCTTCTGCACGAATCATGCCCGGGATATTTCCATTTTCCTTCCACGTGATTAGAAGGCAAGACGCTGGGGGAATTTATGTGCACTAACATGCTGCTTCTACAAGAAAGTACCAGATTTCTAGTGCATGTGAATCTACATGTAAATAGTTTAATCAGTATGCACAAACATGCGCGGCCTGGAGGATGACATGGAAGCATGGCGGAAAGCAGCTTGCTGGAAATAGAAGCCTCTATTGCATTGCACTGGTGTGAAAAATTATTACGTATTTTTGTTTTATTTCTGTGCGAAAATAAAAACAGCGTTTAGAAACCGAACTCTGTGCGTTTTGAGGAGCGCCGAGAGGACATAAAAAACCGGGAAAACCTGAACAATACGAGGCGCCTCGCGTCACTCAGCTTTTCCTGGTTTCTTGTTTTTCCGGAGTCTTTTGAAAGGGGATGAAAAAGTATGAACCGATTGACCCGACTTGCCACATTAGAGCAGTTCATTTTCATTACGACAGGCTCTTTTAGAGCCTCTTGCATAGTTCAGCTTGTGCTGGTCCGTTTTTATTTTCGGTTCCTTTCAAAAAGTGAGCTCTAAGTCACTGGACCAACCTACCACATTCAAAATTTACGGAAGCGGAGAGGTGGTTGGGAGGGCCAAGCGGGCAAGTGTTGCACGCCTCTCGAACCACCGTCCGTTACCTTTGTGTAGTGGCTGGGCTTTGCAAGCAGAATGCGAGCTTGCTCGAGTAACTTGGGTCCGTTCAGAAGATAAACCCCTGTAAAGAACAGTCCCCACCGCCTGGGAAGAACGTAAGTGGGCGAACGAGACGCCTCTGGGTTTTGCGTCACGCCTGCATTTCAAGGGTCAGACTTACTGGTTCCCGACACCAGCACGATTGACGGCACCGCCCGCGTCTTTGATTGTATATTGATACGGAGAAGAAGGTTAAGAGCGCGACGGCCCGCGGCCGTAGTGCGTTCTGGCTCGCGCTCTGGCGGGCAATCAGATTAAAAACCTACCGCTGAAAACCACCCCGTGCACATAGTCGAAAACATGATGATCGTCGAATGAGAGTGAACGTAGAAGTATAATGATCCAATACAAAGCTTCCCTTGATTACTAAACGAATAATGTCATAGCCAAGTACACCTTCACGTCAAATTGTTAGACAGAATTGAAGAGAAGATTATCTGTTTCTTGAAAAAGATTTCCGCCCCCTTCTATCCGGTCCGCTTTTCTATAGGCCTCCAATAACGTGGGCGAATCATTCATTTTGTTGCATTTCCACTCCTCCGCTTCCGCAGATTATGATTGTGGTAGTTTGGTCCAGTGGCTTAGAGCTCACGTTTCGAAAGGAACCGAAAATAAAAACGGACCAGTACAAGCTGGACTATGCAAGACGCTTGAAGACAGCATGTCGTAATGAAAATGAACTGCTCTAATGTGGTAAGTCGGGTCACTCGGTTCATAATGTTTCATCCCCTTTTGAAAGGCTCCGAGCAAACAAGGAACCAGGACAAGCTCTGGTTGTCCCGGTTTTTTCTGTCCTTTCGGCGCTCCTCAAAACGCACAGGGTTCGGTTTCTAAACGCTGTTTTTATTTTGACACGGAAATAAGACAAGCATACGTAATAATTCTTCACACCAGTGCAATGCAATAGAGACTTCTATTTCCAGCAAGCTGCTTTCCGCAATGTTTCCATGTCATCCTCCAGGCCGCCAATGTTTGTGCACAGTGATTAAACTATTCACATGTAAATTGACACGCACTATAAATCTGGTACTTTCTTTGAGAAGCAGCATCTTAGTGCACATGAATTCTCCCAGCGCCTTGCCTTCTAATCGCGTGGAAGGAAAATGGAAATATCCCGGCCATGATTTGTGCAGAAGGCTAGGTTCAATGGTCGCCTATTTTTTCAACAAACTCCCTGGCAGAATCACTACCATATAGCCTGGTGTCCTTTCTCCAAGAAGCGAGGTTTTGATAGAATTTCGTTGCTCGGCCGCTATTTTTTGTAGTGGCGCGAAAAAAGAGAGAGATAGAGGACAACAACGGTTTTCGCAAGCTGATTTTTTCTTCTTTTTTTTTTGCCATTGCGCTGTTTTGTTGTGTTTAGGCATGCTTTTGTGGTGTAAACACTTTTACGCACTTCCCACAAATTTTTTTTATCGTCAACGACAGTTGTAAAGTATTACGCACTGCCTCGGGTGCTTTGACCTTACGCACTAGAGCGTCACGGGAGCGAGTATTTTAGCAAAATTTGAATCGACCACTTTTGTGGCATCAACACGAACACACTTCACCATGAAATCGTAAGAAACAATGATTGATGAAATTGATGGGGTCCCAACAGTGGAGCCACATTATTTAGGTTGCAAATAAACAGGGCGTCGTTCATGCGATGTGTTGACTTCCACGTTCGAATGTGTTGAGGATGAGTAGCCGAAAAGCGCAGTCTGCAGGCTACTTCCTGGAGTGGCCTGATATTTCCCTAACTCGGGGAAAAAGGGGGGGGGGGGGGAGAGAGAGAGAGAGAGAGAGAGATAGGGGTGGATGTTGTGGGAAGGTGATAATATTTATTCTCACCCAGTAAAGTCGCCGGCCGTTAAAAAGTCGACTCGCTGATAACGGAAAAGCCTGTGGGGCCACATCTATAGTAACCATGAGTAAAATGTGATATACAGCTATGCTACTGAGAAGTTGCGATAGTACAAACGATAGGGCGTTGTGGAGGCAAGTGAACCAAAGACCTACCTTACGATTGTGCCGTCTTCATTAGAAGCAAGAATTTCGGTTTGCTTCTTCAAACCCTCCTGACGCCAATCTTTTCAATTTTGGATAAATCCGGGACAGCGTTGATCGCGCAAGCCCGCGCCAATATTTAAAGGTCTTTATCAAGTTATAAAACAGTCATCCAGCAGAGGTAAGGACGAATAAATACGGAAAAAAGTCCAAAATGGGATGAACAACCTATTAGAGGAGATGTGTTTCAAACAGTAATGAAGCGATTAGGGAAAGCCACTTGATTTATAAGTTTCGGAAATAAATGTATTATCAACGACCTGAACCCTTTATTGCGCAAGCCAATCCTTGTGCAGACACGGAATGATTCCAGCAGCCGCGCGATGCCAGAAACCGGCTGCTGGAAAGAACCCTGCATACCACGACCCCTCGATCTCCACCGACCAAGCGGCCTCGGACCTGCAGCTGATGGGAAAAAGCTTTCGGTCGCGCTGGCTTCCTCAATCTCGCGGACTGAGAGTACCCTCGTCAAGGAGGGAAGACACCTGGACGTCTCAAGGTCGTTGCGGCGCTCGCAGCTAGCCGCTCATTTCGCGGTTTTTGAGGATTATCCCTACAGAAAAAGCCGACACAAAAGAAGCCCCTGCCGTCACGTGATTTTTGGGAGAGGATGAAAAGAGGAGGGCACGAGGGGCATTTTCCTACCTTGCGGAAAATGGTTTCGTTGGTCGGTCTTTAAGGAGGCTTCCCTGAAAGAGCTGGACAAGGAAATCGAGCTATCTGTCGAATATGATGCCTTAAAAGAGGAAATTTCTGGTGCAGAGGGGTACGCGGAACGGATCAGCGTAATTAAGGCACGAGTCAACCGCAAGCTGAAAGGCCAAGAATTTCGGAACGACAGGGCGTCCGGTTTTTCGACGCACGGCAGTAGCTCCGGACAAACTCCAGTTGATCACGGCCAACTCCCTACAACAGTAAAGCTTCAGAAGCTTTACTGTTGTGCTTTTTTGCTTTTTTGAATAAAGTAATTATGGCAGCAGCGTTGTTGTCAAACTTATCATTGTACGCTTTTTTGTGAGTAAAGCAACACCCAGTCAACAGGTGGTCTGGTATCATATTACAACAAAACCTGATGTCCCGCCAGAACACCAGATTTCTGGTGTAACATCAGAACACCAGATTTCTGGTGTCATACGCACACATCAGATGTCTGGTGTCACAACAGAACACCAGGGGCCGCTTGCTCGAAAGAGTTGAGACACAACTTGAGACAGTCTCAGCCGAGACCGAACGTGAGCCACTTGCTCGAAACGAAACTTAGTCTGGACTTGAGACTGAAACCGAGTCTCTGACTCAAGTTGTGTCTCAAGCCGGAAGACAGCCCCGTAGCAAATTAGCTGGCGGCCGATTTAAGACCCAAACTGAGACCCAAACGGAGACCCAAACTGAGACAGTCTCAGAGGTTAGTCACTTGCTCGAAACGAAACTTAGTCTGGACTTAAGACCAAAACCGAGTCTCTGACTCAACTCCAGTCTCAGATCTTGAGACAGTAACCGAGGAGGCTCACTGGCGGTCTCAGAGTAAACAAAATGTCGGACGTGGCCACAAGACACCGGCTCCAAACAATCTTCGCCGCATGAATGCACTCCGCGGCACCGTCGGACCGTGTTTTCCAGGACCGATTTCGCCCCCTCGACCCCTCGACACCTTCGGCGTTTCTGACGAGGTTTCGGTTTCGCCTTCGCCGCGACAGCAACATGCGCATCACCGGAGTCTTGGAGGTGAGAAAACAGTCTTATTTCTAACGTTCCTCTTCGACTATATGTTACATTTATTAAGCGGCCAGCTGCGAAGTAATTTTGGAGCAATCGAGACTTTTGTTTTCGTCAGTTAAAAGCCCCTTCTGGTCAACATGCAGCGCCGTCACTGCGTCCTCAAAACGTTGTGTAGTGGTCCTTCCCCAAGCTCACTCTATTTTTGTTGTCTTTGGTGTGGCACGGTCTTTCGTATCACGGTGAGTTCCTCATTACGAAAACAGTTTTGAAATAACGAGTTTCACAACTTGTCAGTGGAAACAGCTGGTGGATACTTGAGTGAGTTTTGAAAAGGAGCAGACTCTTCAAAACGGTAGCGAATGACATGTATTGATCATATCTCGCGGCAAGCTTCGTTCTTTTAAGGACTATGTCGGCAATGAAAACTGCTATAGTATTCAACTGACGGTGTAAACAATGTTTCCTCCTTCGGGTGGTCAACAGCAGCGGAACTCCCCGAACTGCAGCAGAAGTTTTACGTCATGGGCGGCTTTCCGGGCGTCGTGGGAGTCATCGACGTCACCCACGTTCGGATCCGTGCACGAGGAACTGTTCGTGAACAAGCACTACGGTCACTCTATCAACTTGCAGCTGATTGTGGACGCGCGCTCGAGGATCCTGAATGTGGTGCCATGTGACCCGGAAGCATCCACGATTCCTACGTGCTGTCGCAGAGCAGTGACGGGGAGAACGTCGCGACGGGCGCGTACGGCGGCCTGACCATTGCGGCTACCCGTGCAGGGCGTGGGTGATAGCGCCTTTCCGATCGCCGACTGCGCCAGTGGAGTGTGCGTACAACCAGGCTTACGGAACAACACGGTTTGTAATCGAAAGGTAGGTGTTATGGAGAGCTGCTTTCAGAAAAACTGTGTCTGTGAGATGTCTCAGAGCTACCTTTTTCTAAAGCGCAAAGGGCACACTGCGCATTGAATAGCCAGGCTATGAACAAACCGGTTTATGTGCACAGTGTATCCTAAGATAGCCACCATGCCAGGTTGTAGATAAAATTTGATTGTAGACAGACTGCACCGAATGGCAAACAGCAGCAGTATCATGGGGCCTGGCAAAAGAACTGCTGAGTACAGTTGTATCGAGCATCACAATAAGTGGAGTGAAGGGTTCTGTGTGTTGTTGTAACCCCACAGACAATGAGCTGAAACACCCGATCCTGACTTCTCTGTGTCCATGATCCTCACAGGTCCTATTACCTCAGTTTGTTAGATTTATAGCTTTTGGGTACATCACGCTGTTTTCTGTTCTAAAGGGTGCGGTACGTTCCGAGTATCTTAATTTTGCGCTTGGGACAATTTTGAGTTACAGGTTAAGTTTCAGGGGAGGGAAAGCAACTTCCCACGTTCCTCCTTCCCCACTTCTTCAACTGCTTGGGTTACGCTTTGCCTTTGTCACCGATTGGCTGGAGGGGACCATATCACTTGCTTTTTGCCAAGTGACGGTGAGACAGTATAGTTTCCTGTTGAACAAACATGGTGTCTTTCTCTTGTGCAATGGGCAGGGGTGTGGATTGAGCTACGAGCTTTGAACTCAGGGTCCCTGGGTTCTGCATTGCGAGTTTTTGCTATACAATTTCCGAACTGTGGTACGCCACTGACCCTCCCTAGAGCCAACAGTAATTGAATGGTATCCAAATATGATTTCGCTTTGTGCCGTAGCTTGTGCGTGTTCCTATTTTGGTGTATTGTGCAGACACTGTGATTTTCCAGCACCAGAAGAGTTAATATATCAATAACCTCAAAACTGCAGTGCCAATGAACTTCACGGCACGGAACTTCACGGCATTCACGGCACGACACAAATACTAAACGCATTGACGCTGCCTGCATGCCACTCGGCGGTGAAGTCTCAAAAAGCCTGTACAAATTCAATGGTGCGGAAGGCAAACATTTTGCTTGAGGTGTGGCCGTGGCAGGTGTTTTTGTGGTTATGATGTTCGCTTTTAATTGGCCGAGTGTGTAAAAGTTGTTGCAACCTTTCTATGAAGCCATCATTTCTTTAGTCTTGCATGCTGCCAAACGAAATAATGAAGTGGAAGGTTTGTGCATGCTAGAAACTAAAGGTGGGGGCATTGAAGAGGACTAAGAAAAAATATTTTAATATATTTACAATCCCCCCCCCCCTTTTTTTTATGGGCCTTCTTCTTGAGCAGCCTGCCCTAGCAGGGCTAAGACTTTTTTGCACTGTTCTCCATAAAAAAATAGCCGCAATCTGTGTCTCCCTTGTTGCTTTGCGCTCTGCTTGTGCCATTCTGAGCTCCTCGAGTGCTGTATTTAGCCAAGGAAGGACACATTTTCATTTGAGTGGCATGTTTTCCGCCTGTTGCGCAAACAGGTATTTATAATACTGCCTGTCTGCAGCCTGCAGGTGGTATGCTGGGCCTCCAAGCTGGTTCTGGACAACACGGTCCTGGTCAGCGTAGGCCTGATGGTGGTGGTCGCCCTTCTAACGGCAGCAGTGCTGCCTCAGGCTGAAGGGGCGCCTCATCCTCGTCCAATTGCCAGTCCAAAGGCTGGTAATCTTTCGTTCCCCGGACTTCGGCATCTTGAGGAAAATGACCCCGGGGGCCACAAAGACCTTGTGGCCGAAGGCCCAACCTTTCGGGCCAACCACGTTAGTTGCTGGCCGCACATTGACTGGTGCTTTGCTAACCCTGTGTACAATCCACAATAATGTTTTTAGTGTCACCCCTGTACATAGTTCGAGCGCACTCTTATTTGTTTTTCAGGAAATCGTTTTGTGTGCATGTGGATCAAGCTCGATCGCTCAGCTCTCAACCGTTGTGGCTCTTGGTTTTGAAAGTAGCTAGGCTTGAGCGGAACCAGTCTACGGTGTAAAAATCGAACCCGGTCGTAGCTGTTGCGGCTATTATTTCTGAAAGTAGCTGGGTTCGTGTAGAGCCAGTCTGCAGTGTGTTTGTCAAGCCCGATCGTAGCTGTTGTGGCTATTAGTTGTGAAAGTCGCTGGGCTCGAATAGAGCCAGTCTATGGTGTGCAGGTCAAGCGCAATCTTAGCTGTTGCATCTATTTTTTGTGAAAATAGCTTGCTTCAATTTGGGCCAGTGCGCAGTGTTGATGCAGGCCACCCGATTTTCTGGTTGCTTGTCCCTGTGCTTCTTTCCAGTGATAAAAAGAATACCATGCGAAGTAGCAGGTGTGCTCAGGGTGATACCAAGTTTAGTGAGTGTATGCCGGTCGGTGCTTAATAGATGGTACTAGCTTACTGCTCAATATGTGCAAGCAGAGGATGACTTCTTATTAATTGTGTTCCAAAAAAAAAATGAGACGTTTACAATTCCCTGTAATGCCGAATAAGAATGCAGCTCTTGAGGAGGGTACGGAGAGGAGGGTATTGTTTGTTTACCTTAAGTGCGCAGAGTGACCACATTTCTGGGACGTGGATCGAGTGGATTTGGGGATGAAGAAACGACATACAGCTGCCGAGCTGCCATCTTGTTTATCAGGCGGGAAGAGAGGGGAAAAATAGAAACAATAGTGGAACGGCTGCACGACCGTAGCGCTGGATTCGTGGTGCCATCTGGTAACGGTCCATTACACTACCAACATTCCCCCTTAATGGACTGTCGCCACGTCCACGTTCTTGACACCGAAACGTTCACAATGCTTGAGGGTCAGCCTTCCATTCAAGGCCTTGGTGAAGAGGTCTGCAGAGTTACTCGACGATTTGTTGTACTGGAGTTGCAGCTTTCCTTCTTCCACCTTTTCTCTCGGGAAGAAGTGCTTCAGATCAATGTGCTTGCTTCTCTCCGACGTGACTTGATTTTTCGCCAGCGCAATTGCACCCTGGTTGTCAACCAACAAGACCTGTGGTTCCTGTAGAAACTCGTGCACACCAAGCTCCTTCATGAAGTTCTCTAGCCACATAACTTCCTTTGTAGCATGACACATGGTCATATACTCTGCTTCGACGGTTGACAGTGCAGTACTTTGTTGTTTCCTGCTGCTCCAGGAAATTGCAGCGCCGGCTAGCGTCAACACATAACCATTGAATGACTTCCTGTCAGCCTTGTCACTAGCCCAGTCTGCATCGCAAAAGACCTGCACACACTTCCCAGTTCTTTGGTAGATTAGTGCACAATTCTTCGTCTGCTTCACATAGCGAAGGATGTGCTTTATGCCACTCCAGTTCTCTTCTGTGGGATGTTCGTTTAACTGACTCACGTAAGTGGTGGCAAAAGCCATGTCCGGTCTTGTTCCTCCGACAAGGTAAAGCAACGCACCAATTGCCTGTCTGTACTTGCGCGGCAGGTCTTCTCTCATTCGGTCATCGCTCTCGCCTCTTTCGCACTTGCTTCCAGGATCCAAAAGAGATGATGCTGCCTTAGCATCTGCCTTGCCTTGATCAGACGGCATAGACTGTCTGATCGAGGGTCAGTTTTCCATCCCTTTCTCTTTTCATTAATATGGAAACGATGTGGCTGGCTTCCCCCAGGTCTTTTGCGTCAAATTCGCTTCCTCCTCTTCTGCAATGATCAAGAGGTCATCAACGTAGACTCCTACAATGAGCTTCTTCTCTTTGCTGACATATAAACAGGGGTCTGCTTTCGATCTTGTCATCCCCTGCAACTTCAGCAGTTTGTCCAAGGTGAGATTCTACTCCCTTCCAGACTGTCGCAGTCCATACAAGCTCTTCTTTAGAAGGCAGACTTCATCCTTCTTGCAATGCCGAAAGGCTGCGGTTGTTCCAAGTAGACGGTCTCCTTCAGTGTACCGTTCAAGTATGCTGCCGTGATTTCAACCTGGTGGATCTTCCAATTTCTCTCGACTGCTATGGCTAGCAGCGTCCTGATGGACTTCAGCTTGACAACAGGAGAGAAGGTCTCCTTGTAGTCGGTTCCTTCCACCTGGGAGTATCCGCACGCTACTAACCGTGCCTTGTACCTCTCCAAGTCACCATTCTCGTCGTATTTCTTGCGGATTACCCACTTGCACTTTACGACCTGTCTCTCCTTCGGTCGTGGCACCAGTTCCCATGTTCCTGAAGCTTCAAGGCTGTTCAGTTCACTCTGTATAGCTGCTTTCCATCTCTCTTTGTCTGATGCAGAAAAGGCTTCGTGTAGAGTTTCTGGATCTTCCCGGTTGTTTTGCTTGGCTATGCAGGAGCCGTGACATCCACTTTGACGTGGTCCCTTCTTTGCCAGTCTCGCCAACCTTCTGTATGCTTGCGTACCACAATCTGTCACGTTGGATATCTGCTGTGTAGCTCCGTTGTCGTCTTCATCAGCTGATGAGCTAACTTCTTCGGCATTGTTGTGGCCAGTATCATTTCGATCTGAACCACCAACCTCACGTGACCCGCTCCAGCTGTCTTCTACTTGAAAAATGATTGTGCCCTCGGTGTCGTCACATACGTCAACGTCAGTGCTTGGAGCCTGGGCAAGCTTACACGGGAAGGAGTCTCCTTCGAAGGTGACGTCTCGACTCACAAAGAAGCGGTCTTCTTTCTGGTTCCACAGCTTGTACCCCTTCACTCCTTCTGGGTAGCCGACCAGTATGCACTCCTCTGCTTTCGGGTCCAACTTGCTTCCCTTGCATCGTCTGTTTCGCAGACTCCATGTTCTGCATCCGAACACTCTTAGGTGGTCCAGTTTCACTTCTCCCCCTGTCCACAGAGCTTCTGGTGACTCTCCTTCGACTGCTTTCGATGAACACTTGTTCCTGATGATGTGACTTGCAGTGACAACGGCGTCAGCCCAAAGTTCTTTGGGGACGCCTGACTGGATGAGGAGACACCTCGTCATATCAAGCAGAGTTTGGTTCATTCTCTCGGCAACTCCATTCTGCTCAGGTATGCCAGGAATGGTGAGCCGACGCTTTATGCCATGCTTGGCCAGGTACTCATCAAACTCTTTGCTTGTGTACTCTCCTCCATTGTCACTACGCAAAGTCTTCACCTTCGTGTTGTGGAGAATCTCGACCATTCGTCTGTACTGGTCGAATCTGTCCAGCACTTCATTCTTCGTCTTCATTGGGTACACTACAGTGAATCTGGAATAGTCATCAATGGATGTGACAAAGTAGTTCGACCCTCCCTTTGAGGCAGGTGTGATCTTTCCAACTACATCCGAGTGAACCAGCTCCAGTGGGGCCTTAGCCTTTGTTCCACCCTTCTTCGGAAGCTGCTTTTCTTCAATTTGCCGAGTGCACATGTCGAGCACTTAGCATCTTGACTGCTTCTACCACTTTGGCAAAGTTTTTCGACAGCTTCATGGTGGAGATGACCGAGTCGTCGATGCCACAGGGCGACGTCTGTCGCCTTTGCTAACTTCAATGTTGCAAGCGACTTACTCTCAGTGTACAATTTACCATCGCGCTTGGCTACGACAATTAGGTCACCATTTGCTTCAATCACTTTAGCTTTTCCGTTGCTGAAAGTCACGCTCAGTCCACGTTCCTCAATCTTCCCAACTGACAATAGGTTACCGTCTAAGCTTGGTACGTAGAGGACATCTTGGAGCTCGACGACAGTGCCACCGCAGTCTTTCGAAAGTTCAATCTTTACCTGTCCTCTCCCGACGACTTCCATGACCTCCTTATTTGCTGCCTCAACAGTCGAACAGCAGGGCTTGAAAGTGGTGAATTTGGCTCTGTTTGACGTCATGTGGTCAATTGCTCCACTGCCAAGGTACCAGATGTGTGACCCTGAGGAACTTCCACCTCTGGCACAGAGTGCCTTCTTCGGTTCACTGGAATTTCGTCTTCTCTTTGAGCCGCATCCTTCGTCATCGGGACCCTCCTTGCATTCCCTGGCAATGTGTCCAAAGTTTCCGCACCGAACTCATTGTTTCGGTTCAAAGCAGCTTGTACCAGTGCCAGTTGCTGCTTTCCTTGAAAAATGTTCTTGCCCGTTACGTTTGTGGAGCTGACTGCTCCTCATAATGGCTTGTTCTTTGTCATAATGGCCTTGTTTTCTTCACTCTCATTTAGTTTGTCTTTTTCACGTTTGACTTGGCGCTTTTCTTCTACCAGCAGCCTTGTTTTCACCTTCTTCGTCGTGAGCGTTCCTTCGTCTTGCTCAAGATTTAGGATAAGTGATTCATACGTTTCTGGCAAGCCCATCAGCATCACCAGTGCCACTTCCCTGTCAGTGAAGGCGTATCCTGCCGTTTAAAGCTTCCTCTGTAGGTTCATTATTCAATCCAGGTAATCCTTCATGGTTTCATCTGGCTCCATTCTGGTGCTGGAGAAGTCTCCCATCAACTGAAGAGCATGCAGTAGCCCACACTTTAAATGTATCTCTTCCAATGTATTCCAGGCCTCACGAGCTGTCAAACATTCCCCAATGTCGTCCAGACAGGTGTCTTCCACTACTAGGAACATGAATGTCAAAGCCTTGGTGTTCTTCCTCTCGTCGTTCATCACTTCTCTCCCACCATAGCCAGGCTCCATGGCTTCCCAACAGCCTTTCTGGACGAATGCCGCTCTGGCTCAAATCGCCCATGCATGGTAATTTTCGTTTGAGAGTTTTCGTATTTTGATTTCGTCCAGCGCCGCCATCCTATCGCTTTGCTTTGTCGAGAGCGGTTCGAAGTAGGCTTACAGCGATGAACTTGCGTTGGGTTCTTGTTGCACGTCTTGTGGCACCCAGCGAAGCAGGAACACATGTACAGGTTTGACGACGTCTTCCAC